GTAGATTTTTGACTGAGTAACTTTTACTTGTAGTGGAGTAGATTTGACCATGAGTATCAATACTTTTACTCAAGTACTAGAGTTGAGTACTTTGTCCACCACTGGTTTCTGAAGGACTTATGTTGGAAGTGTTTGTGGGAGTTTCTAAAGGATTTATGTTGGAAGTATTGGTGGGTGTATTTGAAGGACTTATGTTGGAAGTGTTGGTGGGTGTTTTTGAAGGACTTGTGTTGGACTTGTTGGTGGGAGTTTCTAAAGGACTTTTGTTGGAAGTGTGGTGGGTGTATTTGAAGGTCTTATGTTGGAAGTGTTGGTGTGTGTTTCTGAAGGACTTATGTTGGAAGTGTTGGTGTGTGTTTCTGAAGGACTTATGTTGGAAGTGTTGGTGTGTGTTTCTGAAGGACTTATGTTGGAAGTGTTTGTGGGAGTTTCTAAAGGATTTATGTTTGAAGTATTGGTGGGTGTATTTGAAGGACTTGTGTTGGAAGTGTTGGTGGGTGTTTTTGAAGGACTTATGTTGGACTTGTTGGTGGGTGTATTAGAAGGACTTATGTTGGAAGTGTTGGTGGGTGTTTCTAAAGGACGTATGTCGGAAGTATTGGTGGGTGTATTTGAAGGACTTTCGTTGGAACTGTTGGTGGGTGTTTCTGAAGGACTTATGTTGAAACTGTTGGTGGATGTATCTGAAGGACTTACGTTGGAACTGTTGGTGGCTGCTGCTTTGAGGACGGTATATGCCCTGGTGGTAGCTGCTGGGTGGAGGAATGTTGCTGTATTGTCCTCCGTGTTGGTTTCTGTTCACACTGTGACTGAAAGGAAACAAGATCCGATGTTAAAAATGGAAGTAAAACCAAGTAATACTTTTTAAATGAACCAACAACTACTATTAAACACCAGTAATGTTCTGAGTTCACCTCCAAATTCTACAGACTGGACCAAACAATGAAGAAGAGGGAAGACAAGAAATCAGAAATATTCACACTGTAACATGTCCAACTGGACTCTATGGACTGGTCAGGTCATACTCTCCTGCTGTGGACAGACAGATTAAACGGTACAGACTACTAACTGGACTCTTTAATAAAGAGTCTATGGAACTTAATCTAGAGAAAGATGAGACACCAGAGCCGAAAATGCTGATGAGATGAAGGCCACTACAGATCAACCTGGGCTTCCAGTACTGTTAGACTGTAAATAAAATATGAGTTTATTTGTAAATCATTGCATTCTCTTTTTATTTACATTTCCCACAGCTACCCCAACATCTTTGGAATAGATTTGTAATATTCGAGTTTTACTTTTTGAACTGAAATAAATTATATTATTATTGAGACACACCTGTACTACAGATGCAGGCTACTAAACTGGAACAGTTTTAACGAAACAAATATAAATAAATATAAAAACTTTTGATGTTTTTTTCCCCCAGCAGCTGTTTGTTTAGTTCCATCACAGCCTGATTAACTGAACATCTGAGTTCAGATTCATGGTGTTTCCTCTAATCTGTGGATGATTATTTCCTCACAGTGGGTCTGAGCCAGATGTTCAATTATTCATATTTCCTTAATGATAATATGGACGTGTGGAGGCGGGAGCTCCAATTCTAATCAGGACGGTTAATTCAGGCATTTAAACACATTTTATTAAAGTAAAGTCAGAGTGGAATCAGCAGCCATTGTTCTGTGATGAGCTTTATTTTACAAACTGATCAAACTTCTGGTTTCATCTGAAACAACAGACATCTTTTACCCATGGAATGTTTGAAGATAATCACTTTTGTTTTTAAAGATTGTATTTGCAGTGGTGAGCAGGTTTTATACTCACTGCTAATCAAATCTTTAACTAAAATATTACACCAAGAGTAAAATAAATTTGTTTAAATATCTATGCTGACTTTATTTGCAGAGCATTCATTAAAATAAAAGAGATGTTAAAAAGTTTAAATGTTTTTGGAATCCTTGGGTTTATGTTTTTTCAAAGTTGTTTCAGTTTTATAAAGTCTGGATCAGATGAATCAAATCATCATCACCAGTCCTGTTTCCATGGAACCATCCTGGACACCTGTCTTTTGATTGACAGCTCTCTGAGTGAACAGGAGCATCAATATTGTGTCAACAGAGTCCACAGAGACTATAGAGACCATTGACAGAGCTGCACATAAGTGGTGTGCAGGTGCGCAGGAGCGATCAAAAAAGAAAAAGCGCACCAGATGGAATGTCATAAAGCTCCCTTGCGTACCTAAGATTGTACCTGAGATTGTGAAAACAGCTAGCAGGGTCGCAAATGTGACCTGATTTCTTAAAAAAAAAACAAAACAAACAAAAATCCAGCCTCAGTGGTGTGACTGGAGCATCATACTGTTAGAGGAGGGCAGCAAGGTCCTGATGTATAAGGATGAAATGGACACTGCTTTCAACGAATCAGACAAACTCTAGAGCCGTTTTATCCAATCAGAGCAGAGCAGGGCGGGACTTTCAGTGAGAGCAGTTTTCAGCAGAAACAGTGGAAACAGCGGCTGCAGCGATCAGTCCTGACATCTCCTCCTGCACTTTGCTCCTGAACTACCAGAGACTTTGGTCTCTAAAACCTAACTTTATATTAAATATATGTTCAGAGCATTGTTATCAAACAGATCTGTCCAACTTGGCATCAGTGACTAAACTTTCCTCCTGAGAGACGGGAATGTGCCGCAGTGCACGCAGGCTGTGAGTCTTTCTGAGATTCACTGTTTGAGTTCTTCTAAACCATATATTTATTTGCCCCATATCAAAGCAAAGATGAGTCTCTGTTTAACATCACCCCCCATCCAAAAAAATAAAAATAAAAACTTGCCATGTTCTCTAGGTGAATGAGTTTTAAATGTTATTTTAATTTATCAGAAAGATCCACAAATTTCATTCTTCACAATTTTATAACAACAAGGTTCTTGATGTGCTAAACATGTTTATATTTAGAATCATACTGTGACACAGCTGCTCTGGGATAAATGTAATTCAACAAATGATAAAATACAAAGAATAAATCATTTTAAATGATTACATGAGCTGAAACCATCTAAATATAGTGTAATCTTTTTGAATAAAATAGTCTTTAAAAAAGAAATACTGTAAGTCTAACAAATAAAACATTTGTTCTGTGCCAAAGACAGATATTTGCTGCTTGGTCTGGAGAGTGTTGACAGCTGGTTTAAACAAGGCCAAAGATCTAAAAGGCCAAACTACAGGAGCTGCACATCTCAGGGTCAAGTGTAGTCAAACAGACATTTAAACATGAAATATTCAGAGTGAGTTGACATATGCCCCTGGGTCAGCCCATTGGTCATTTAGGTAGTTTACAAAATTTATGCAGAGTAAAAACAGTGGACTGATTTGGCATGATGTCCCGAGACGTTGCCAGCTGATAGAAGACATCATAAATCAGAACAGGGCGATAGTAAATGCCCTGACACCCCTCTAGATAATTGTGTTTAACGAGTTAAGGAAAATATGAGCTCCGAGAAACAACCCAGACCAGAATTTTTATGTGGAGCCTTGAATATAGAGACCCTGAGACTATAAAATAAATATCACGATACATTGACCAGTTCACCTCGATGACGATAAATGCACGATAACTCTTACTACCACCACACACAAGTACACGCTACAGTATAGTCATAACACTATACACTGTGTCCACGTTCTTAGTCAAAGTACACAGTTTAGATTTTGAACAGCTTTTCTGTAGTTTATATTTGTCATTTTAGTGTTTTAAATATATTTATTAAAAACCATTTTTGGCAAGACTTGAGTCAGATATAATCATACAAATATTTAACCATCGCCATAACTTTTCAGGGCAAACACACACATTATGTACGTACTATAATATTATATTTAAAAATATATATCAAATGTGTTTTGTACTGCACAAAATAACTTAAAATACATTTTTTTATTTGTTAGACTGACTGATTTCTCTATTACAATAACTATTTCTTTCAAAAAGATTATATTATTTAGAGAGCTCATGTAATCATTTAATACTATTTAATCTTCATATTTGATCACTTATTGGATCACAGAGCAGTTCAGTCACAGTACGGTTCTAAATATAAGCAAGCTATATCGTGAAGAATAAAATTTGTAGATATTTATGATAAACTACATAGCAGGAAAACAGGGTTTTTTTTTTCTTCTTTTTGCAGGGGTAACGCTAAGCAGAGATGAATCTTTTCTATAATTTGGGACAAACAAATGTTCATCTGTTAGAGTTTGTGTTTCATTAGAAGAGCTGAAACTGTGTCTCTCTCAGATCAACTCAGCCTGTCTGCACCTCGGCGCGCTCACGTAACAGAGCTGTCGAGGAGAGGAGTTTGGTCACGTGAGCAAAATTGGACATATCTATATCTGTTAGATAACAAAGCTCTGAACACATAAACTTATAGTTTGTTAGATTTTAGATAACCAATGTCTCGGGTAGCTCGGGAACGAAGTGTGGAGGACGGGGTTTGCACACTCAGGACAGGAGCTGCAGGCTGACTGGTGTTTATCAGGCAGACTGCCGCACCGACACAAAGACCTGCCCTGCTCTGCTCTGATTGGATAAAGCTGTGGGGTTCGTTTGATTTGTTGAAAGCAGCGTCTGTTTAAACCTGTATCAGACTGGGCGGCTTTAATGAGATCGCAACAGAAAGCAAGCAGGTTTCTCTTTTCCTTATTTTTTAAATACAGATAATACCGACATGAGCAAAATGACGTCGGTTATTGACATAAATGTCGGTATCGATTATATTTTGGTTTATCGCCTAGATCTACTATAGAGTCCACTGAGTCCACAGAGACTAAAGAAACCACAGGGTTTACAGAGACCAAAGTGTCCATTGGTTATTTAAAAGGATAGGAAAGCCTTCAAGTTCAAAACCAAGACTGGGTCAGACACCAGGATCAGGACACATGTGAACAGCCTCTTTGACTTCAGGGCACTGTGGTTTTATCTCCAGGTTGTTATGAGGGTTTACCTAAGAGCCCTGAAGGCTGACTGGTCCAGGTGAGCCTGTTGTCTGTTTGGGTTGAAGCCCAGCTGGGGTCTCCATGGTTCCCGGTTCCTTCTCTCCCAGTCCTCCGGCTTCAGGACCTTGTTGGGAATCCTGCAGAACAAAGGAGTGTGCTTCCTTTACGATGGAGGAAACTTTAAGACTGATCTGCTTCTCTTCAAATACAAAATATCAAAATCTATTAGTGTGTTATTGACATTTAAAAACCCAAAATGGGTTCAGGTCCAGCAGAATGCTTTCTGACCTCTGACTGGTCAATATTTGGATGAAACAAGTGAATATAAAGAATAAATCTAGAGCTGCTTCAGTCTGTTGTAAGCCACCAATCAAACATGTTTTCTCTTCATTCTGAGAAACTTAAGATAAAACTGAACCGACTAAAGGTTCTAAACATTTATAAAAACAATAAAATGTGTCAGATCAACAGGTCCAGTCAGTTCAGGTTATTCACATCTTTAGCTGAATGTTTTATCCAATGTTTGACAGAAATATCAACTACTCAGGCTGAATCCAGACTGGAGATCAGTAAATATGGAGTCTGTAGCTTAAAGAAAAAAAAAGTTCTTACTTTGCTCCGGGCAAGAGGACGGCTTTAAACACAAACTCTGCAGAAAAGTGAGGGTCTTTAAACTTCACACTGCAGAAAAGACAGAAGAGTTATTACTACTTATAAAGAAAAACACATCCGCTGTATTGTCTGCCTGCTTTAACGTCCGACTGCTCTGACGTCCGACTGCTCTAACATCTGCCTGCTGTAACGTCTGCCAGCTGTAACGTCTGCCTGCTGTAACGTCTGCCTGCTGTAACGTCTGCCTGCTGTAACGTCTGCCTGCTGTAACATCTGCCTGCTGTAACATCTGCCAGCTGTAATGTTTGCCTGCTGTAACGTCTGCCTGCTGTAACGTCTGCCTGCTGTAACGTCTGCCTGCTGTAACATCTGCCTGCTGTAACGTCTGCCAGCTGTAACGTCTGCCTGCTGTAACGTCTGCCAGCTGTAACGTCTGCCTGCTGTAACGTCTGCCTGCTGTAACGTCTGCCAGCTGTAATGTTTGCCTGCTGTAACGTCTGCCTGCTGTAACGTCTGTCTGCTCTAATGCTATGTTCACACCAAACGTGTTTTGAGCATCTAAAACACGCATGACGCCTCCAGTTGGACACGCTACGTTCAGACCGGGACACAGACTAGACGCGTGTCTGAAGAGGGAGGAGGGTCTTGGTTTTTTTCCGGTCTGTCTTTAACAGCAGATGAAATAAAGATAAAATAAAGAAAATGGCTTTGCTTTATTTACTAAAGAGCAAGTGAATGTTGCGCAAACTAGATAATTAATTCACCAGATAATTTAGAGACGGTTTGTTCGGTTAGTTTCACCACTCCAGGAGCTGCAAGCTGACAAACTATTTTTTTGTCCTGAGCCCAGTTTAACACTGCGGTCAGTTTAACGATCTGTTGACCCTTATCAGTGCTGACATATCCAGCCAGAACATCAACTGAAGATGGTCTATTTCAGCTAAAAAGCTCCTGGCTGTCTGTTTCAGGTTAGTGGGCAACATTCAGGAAACCGTCACATGGAAAAATGAGTCTCTGATTGGTTGACGTTGCGCGTCGAGCAGCAAAAGTTCAGATTTTTGAACTCGAGCGTCGGCTGCATTGAACGCACCGCATGCACAGAAAACGCTCAACCGCACCTTCCGCGCCTCGCTAAACTGACTTGACCCGCTGCGAGACCCCTAGAGGTGTGTCCACCATAGATTTAGCATGTGAACCGGCCGGTTTACATGCAAAACGACTGCAGGAGCGCAGATCAAAACGCGTTCGGTGTGAACGTAGTGTCACGTCTGCCTGCTCTAATTTCTGTCTGCTGCTACTCTCGTTCAGATTCACAGTGAGTCCAGCCCAATTCGAGGGCTGCATCCTCATTTTCCTCAATTGAAGGGACGAGTCTTATGGATCCTTCTTTCCCACCATATCCCATAATGCATTGTGGGCCGACAGATTTTTTTCTGCTAGTAATGGTGGACAAAGCGAGAAAAAGGAGAATAGTTTTAAATAAAAATCTGTTGATATAAAAAGGAATTTTTTTCCTTTTGATTTTTTACCTGGATTACTGAGATGCATGTTGACATAAAAATAAAAAGTCTGAAGCGATTGTGTTGTTAATGCTTTTATCATTTGTATCGAAATGTTTAATATTATTCTTGTCAGAAATCAAACGAGCTGTTAAAGAGAAATAAACGTGCACCTACAGCTAGTCCATTAGGTCTTCAAATATTGCCTTTAAGATAATTTTGTTGTTTTACGATATTTGTAGTATTAATATATTGATATTTTTCTAATTTTGATCTATTTTTGTTTCTGTTTAGCTTTGTCACGGTTGCTAGACGACAGGATGTATGCCAGGGTAAGGACAGGAACAAAGCTGAGGACTAGATGTCCAAATTCAGACCCCTTTTTTCCTGTCTTCACGGTCAACAAGGCAAGTATTTCCTGGACTACTTTTTGATAGGGGTCAGGACTACTTTCTGCACATATCTTTGTCTCATATTTAAATTTGGTTGGTGATGTGAAAAATTTAAGTGACAAACGTGTGTGTGTGTGTGTGTGTGTGTGTGNGGGCACCACTAAACACGTCAAGTTAACCACAGTCCAAAAATTACGTTGATTTTTTTTCTCATTTTCATGTTTACAGAAGTACGGACCAATCACATTTATTCTAAATCTTTCCTTCTAATTAATGAAGCGACGCAGGCAGAAGGACATGATTTCACCACCTGCTTGTCCTCCTCTGCAGGTTGTTATCAGCACCCTCACGCCTTCTCTCCACAGCCCACAGTCCACTCAACCCACGACACATTACTACAGTTTTTCTTTTATTCTAGAAACTGTTAGACTCGTTCTAACTCTTGTAGCTTGTTTCAAACGTTTGTTTTAGCTCCTCTTAGTTTAGAATCAGGATGTTTGTACTGAAGAACCACATATTTCTTACTGAAAAACATACAAAAAGCCAATGTTGGGCATAATTTCCCTCTTGGCTTCCTTAAGATAGGTTTATGGTCGACGCGTCGCGCTGGGCGCAAAGGTGCGTGCGCCATAAGTAGCTATGTTTACATGGACATAAGTAATCGGATTAAACAGCCATTCGGAATAAAAATGCGTCATGTAAACACCCCATTCTGATTATTCTGACCCGATTCAGCTCGATTCGAATGAGTTTGTCATCGGAATGAGAGGTGGTTTATGCCCATTGATAATCCGAACGACGTGAATGTAAACACTTAATCTGATCATTTTATTCTTATTGTGGAAAACTGACCTGACTGCGCATGTCTGCTGACTTTCATCCAGCTGTTTTCAACAGCACACAGCCTGCGCCACTTCGCAAAAAAAAAAAAAATAAAGTCTTCTCGTCACCTGCATCTCAACCAGGGAGTGCAGTAACATCTTATTAAAACCTGTCGCAGGCCCATTCTGAGTACTCAGAAGCTGTTTGTTTATGTTCATCACGGAAGTAGAACTTTTTAATGTGTTTTTTTAAGGGAAGGTTAGCAACTGCGCACGTCAGTGCTTCTATTCAGAACAAAAGCCCGGTGCATGTAAACACTTGTTATGATCGGATTGTGCGCATGTAAACGATACATTCTGATTATTTAATCAGAATACATTTCAATCCAATCAAAGAATTTTGCGCATGCAAACATAGCTATTGACACAATAGCGCCGTCCCAGCGCAAGGTTGTGCACCTCGGAATTTTTGTAACTCCACAAAGGCTTGCGGATTCAAATAGTCTGTCTGTCAAGCTTTTGCTCTCCTACTTACACCATTTTCACAAGTTATAAAGTGTACTTCCACGTGTCATTTTGAAGAAATCTACATCTACGTAAATGCCAAATATAAAATCCTAAACTGCCGGCGAGGGTGCGCATGCTCCAAAGCGTCACTATAACTCAGCCTTTAGAGAGCTGAGTGGGGGCGGGGCTAGTCACGCTCCATGTGATGAGAGGAAACGCCCACTAGCAGGTATTAGGACTCACTTGATGGCAGTACTGTGTGAAATGTCCCGCAGAGTTGGGATCGGTGACCTCAGTGGTCTGAAAAACAAACATGAAAACTTAATCATTAAAAAAGAAAAAAAGCATTTATTAGTTTTTCAGTTAGATCCTGAGAAACTCACAACAAAATAAAGAAAAGTTCAAATTAAGCAGGAGCTTCTTACTTATCTGGTAGAACTGGGTCCTCAGCCAGGTTTAATATACCCTGGAGTCCGTGGCACAGTTCTGCAGGGATCACAGAAACCTGAAAGAGACCCAGCTGCAGCTTTTATCTGAGGGTCACCCTGAAGATTTAAACTTGATATTTGTCTGATGTGACGGAGAAAAGAAGCTGCTGAGCGAGCAGCGGCTGTTACCTCAGGAGTTTCTGAGCGGTACAGCTCATGGATGAAGTCAAACAGCGGGTGGAACTTTCCCAGAAACAACACATCACTTCCCAGACTGTTCCTCCTGACTGCAGGAAGAAAACACTGCCGCTGTCATCACAGGCTTTTATTACGGGTTAATACATGTGTAATTACTCATGAACAGAGTCTAACATCCAGCACACTAAGGAAAGGCTGTGGTCAAGTATTACAGCACGTTAACTTGAAGAAGACTACGCTCAGAGAGATCACCTTCATCAGGTGTGAGGTCAGGATAAACATCAGTCAGCGCCGCCCTCAGCCGCCGTTCATCCACAAAAGGTAACAAAGCCACACCTACAGGAAGAAGCAGGAAGTTAATCACCTCAAAGACTGGGACCAGAACCTGAGACCAGAGCCAGAATCTGGGACACAAACAACTGAGACCGGAACCTGAGACCCAAACACTGGACTACTATCTGATGGGGGTCTGGTGGGGCCTTAATGTTTTTAAAGTTCTGTCAAAGTAAAAAGAAGAAAAAAAGAAACTAGCTCACCCTGCCAGGCGTATTTCTTCCCGTTCAGATCAATGGCGAAGTCATCAGGGTAAAAATCGATGATTGAAGAGTCCTGAATCAAACAAAGGTTCAACAGAAACTTAAAACACCTTTAAAAATGACTCAGCAGTTAGTTTTATTTCACTCTGTGGTAAGAATCGGTTCAGTTTGGTTGGTGTGACTCACCGGGCTGACCATCAGGTTCCTCCATGTTGTTGGCAGGAAGTTACCGCTGGCGGCAGGAAATACTCCCATCAGCTGCTCCAGAGGCTTAAACTGCACCAAACAAACGGGCCAGTCCTTAGACCTGCTGTACTTACACATGCAAGAATAAAAAGAACCAGAACCAATTGTTCTTACTGGTTTAGTGTCCTTCTCAAACTCAGAGAACATCTCTTTGATGTCTCTGAAGTCGGAGGCAAACGGAGCGTAGTGGAACGGGAAATACCACTTCCAGGAAGCACAGCCCTGAAAGCACCACCAAAAACAAAAACAATTAAAACTGTAAGTGGTGATAAGGGTCCTCGAGCACCAGGAACATCCAGATTGACTGTACATCCAGCTAAAGCAGCCGCCGATCTATCTGTCAAGATTGATTAAGCACTGCCAAAGACAATAGCGTGAAAAGGCCAGTTATGGACCAACAGGGACACGTCCAACTTCACTAAGCTTCCCCAGCCACCAATCATGGATATTATCTTAGTTTCCAAAGCAGTGATGGAAGGATACCAACAACTAAAGGCTGGTTGTCAGCAGTAGCTGCGTTTCCACTGCAAATGTGCACAAAACTTTGTCGATATTCTGTTAATGTCGAAAAACAGAGTTTCGCAATTGCGGTGTTTCCATTAAATAAGAAATGCTATTAAAATCATGAGTGAATACGTTTGTTCCCGTGATAAGTCATTACAAACATGGCAGCAATGGATTTAAACACATGTATAATTGCTACCATGGCACTAGCGCTCATCATCAGAGGAGACGTTGGCATCTTATCGAGGTTTCGAGCGACAAGCCCCTTATACTTGGGAGCGGCTACATATGCGGCGTTTTTGGGAAATTGTAGTCATGAGTTTACTACTTTATTTTTACAACTTCTGTGATTTCACTACTACTTCTACTTCCTGTTGTCTTSTTCGTCGTCGTCTTTTTCGCCAGTAGAAACAACCAGTTGTTGATCACGTGACTCCTGTGATGCGAAAAAAGTGTTTCCATTGCAGTTTTGCGAAACACACCAATTTCGACATGTCCGAAAAACCACCTCATCTTAGCGCAAAAACACTTTGTCGAAAAAAGGAATTTTTTTCAAAAATGCCACATTTCAATTGAGCAAATTTATTTTCGTAATTCTCATTTGCGTATTTTCATGGTCAATGGAAACGCGGCTAGTGATGGAAGAATACCAACAACTAAAGGCTGGTTTATGCTTCTTCAAGTTTCACGTCTTGGTCTTCCTGCTGAGTGACAAATAATTGCCTAACTTCCGTCTGCTCTCCCGCTGCTATCCTCTGGTGACAGGCGTTGTGTACAATGCCTCCAGTCAGAACTCTGCGATGTGGACCTTGCAGCTCTCAGCATGTGATTGGTCAGAACTTTGTGGGCTTGTTTGATTATGAGGAGCAATGCAGCACTGAGGAGCCATACCAGCGCAGGACACTGAACAGCTCTTCTTTCTAAATGCTATTGTGTTGAAAATGACCTTTTCTCTGAAGCTGGTGGTTAAATTAGCAAGATGAACAACTAGTTTGATCACATTGAAGACATGAGCAGCAGCTGAGGCTCTAAAAGCTCTAAATATTCTAAAGGTTCTGAGGCTCTAAAGGTTCCACAAGTACTGGGGCTCTTATGTTTCTGAGGCTCTAAAGATTCTAAAGGTTCTGAGGCTCTAAAGGCTCTAAAGGTTCTGAGGCTCTAAAGGCTCTAAAGGTTCTGAGGCTTTAAAGGCTCTAAAGCAGGCATGTCAAACATACGTCCCGCGGGCCGGACCCGGCCCGTTGGATGATTTAATCCGGCCCGGCATAAATTTCTGAGTATGTCAAAAAAAGAAGCGAGTCTCTAGCTCATTTCGATCAAAAGTTATGATTTTTTAAAATAAATACAAACCAAATRCTCCMTCTGGCCGYTAGGGGGCAGTAAATGTGTAAAAGAGCTCACGTCCAGCATGCGGCACTGACACGAGTTAGTACCAGGAAATAAACATTCACAACGTGATGTGTCCAACTAAAAATGAACCGGCAATCTTGCTTCACCATTCACCACTACTAAATAAGTTATCGGTCAACACACCCTTCCCAAAATGGCACTGTCAAAAAAAAGAAAAGTGGACACGGAGTGCAGGGTTTTTCAGGAAAAATGGACTGAGAATTATTTATTCACAGAAGTGAATGCAAAACCAGTGTGCTTGGTATGTAATCAGCAAGTTGCAGTGTTCAAAGAGTTTAATATTCGGCGCCACTACGAGACTCATCATAAAGACAAGTATGACCACTTGAAAGGACAAATAAGGAAAGACGAGATAAACAAATTGGTCGCTGGTCTGAAGAAACAGCAGTCTGCTTTTACACGCAGCCGCRATATTGCTGATGGGGCTGTAAGAGCCAGCTACATTATTGCCAACGAGCTGGTGCAGGCATCCAAGCCATTTTCTGATGGGGAGTTTGTAAAAACATGCATGCTGAAGGCTGCAGAAGTCGTGTGCCCTGAAAAGAGACCTGCCTTTGCCAATATTAGTCTAACGAGGAACACTGTCGCAGATCGGGTGACAGAACTCTCAAGTGACTTGAGCAGCCAATTGAAAGAAAAAATYAAATCATTTATCGCATTTTCAATTGCAATAGATGAGAGCACCGATGTCACAGATATTGCTCAACTGGCAATATTCATTAGAGGTGTTGATGAAACTTTGACCATCACAGAGGAGCTGCTTGAATTGGTGCCCATGAATGACACCACAACAGCAGATGACATTTTCAGCGCTCTCGTTGGAGCGCTGGACAAAGTGGGAGCGGACTGGTCCCGTGCCGTGAGCCTGGCGACCGACGGTGCGCCATCAATGGTGGGGAGAAAGGCAGGCGTTGCCACAAAATTCCGTGACAAAGTACAGACCGCAAATGGAGGACAAGAGTTTTCACTGCATTTTGCACCAGGAGGCGTTATGTTGCAAAACACTCCAAATGGACCATGTTATGAGCGTGGTTGTGAAAACTGTCAATTTCATCAGAGCTCGCGGTCTAAATCACCGCCAGTTTGACTCATTTCTCAGTGATAATGACATTCATGCTGGCCTACCATACCACACTGATGTGCGCTGGTTAAGCAGAGGTGCAGCACTCAAGCGCTTCTTTGAGCTACGAGGCGAAATTGGACAGTTCATGGAGAAGAAGGGACGCCCAGTAAAGGAA